GTCGGGGGGGGGGGGGGGGGGGGGGGCTTTCATGCTTGTCATGTCACACACAGCAGCCATAATACCACTGTATAACTGATATAGGATTATGTCCCTACTGGAAAAAAAAACAATAAAACCATCGCAGAAAATTTTTATGCTTTCCACTACAAATAACCATTACAAACATTACAAACCATCACCTTTTAACCATTAAAACCATTAAAAAATGGTTTTCTGTAGTGTGTTTTGGGACATATTCCATTAGAATTTATTGGTTTTAACAAGCCACCTATAAAAGGCAACCAATTACTAGTAGAGACCAACAGGGTCCATTACAGTTTCCAGTAAAACCAATACAAGTCCCATTATAACCAGTAAAACCATTACAAAATTGTAATGGTGTCTATTGTTTTTTTCAGCAGGGGTTTTATTCATGTTGTATTTTTATTCGAAATATTCCCAAAATATAATATGAAATATCTCGATTCTCAAATATGTTTAAGTAAATGCATTTTGCACCTTTATAGATTATGTTGGTTGATCTATAATGGGCGATGGGCAAAGTAGCCTAATAGTGTAATCTATTAACTTTGCATAAAAATCCGTCTTTTTACTTAAGTACCAGATATGGGTGTCATACCATAAAATATTTTTAATACGACTGACTTTTACTTAAAGGCACAATATGTAAGATTTTTTTTATTCAAATATCCCAAAACCACTAGAACAGTCTTATATATTTTGCTGACTTGCGTACTTACATTATCCCAAATGTTTCGAAGAATGTTTAAATCCAGAGAAATAAGCAATTTTAAGTAGAGACACGGACCGTGTCCATATGTGTCATTGTGTCGCCTGCTAATGACGTCATAACCCCTCGATTTCTGGTTTTGTTTTGTAGAAAACATGGAAACACCAAAGACGCTTTAATATGTTGTGCGTTTTAATAGACCGGTGATGACTGCACAGAGTAGCAATATAACTTTCAAATGTATATAGTATGATAAAACAGCGCTGCTTTTTTGCCCCACATACGCACGACCGGAAGGAGCGGAAGCGGTCGACTGTGGCATTATAAAAGCTACGCTGCTTTTGAGCCATGTGTCACACTCGTTCAGCTGCCTCGTTTCGCTTCGATGGCTTTCAGCCTCACCCTGCTTCATTCTACTACGTTAATAAATCATTAGCTCATCCATGAACATGATTTCTGCTCGAGTCCCGTCGGATTGCATCGGCTGTGGGGATGAAGACCACAACTCCCATGATTCCACACTCAGTCACGGCGTCATCAAACTACGCCTTTGTCTATTTGTTTATTTTGAATACACGCCCTCCAGCGGCGAAAATTACATATTGTGCCTTTAAGTACCAGATATGGGTGTCATACCATAAAATATTTTTAATACGACTGACTTTGTATGTAATGTGAATTTAATAAAAAACATTGTAAGTTACTAATTAACCTGTAACACTTTCATTGTACAAAAAGAGAGAACCAGTTACATTATCATAGAACATTTTCACTTCAGTCCAGCGAGTTCAAGCACTCTCAAAAACTCCCATAATAATCTCTAACGCAGTTTACACTGTGAAATTAATATCTTACTTACATTCGTACATCTTCACTTTGTTGTTTCTGATGAGAGAATTGGCCAGAGAATTCAGTCAGCCAGCGCGCGCGGTGACGAAACAGCGTGTTTCAGCAATGACTAATCTGAACGCCTCTGATTGGTCCTTGCATTCATAAACAATTAGCCAGAGAATTCAGTCAGCCAGTGCGTGCTTTCAGCGGTGACTCATCTGAACGCCTCTGATTGGTCCTTGAATTCATAAGCTCAACATAATCGTATGTGATTGGTTATAACGCGCAGTGCTTTAAAAACGCGTGTGTCTCTGGCTCTGTGCCAGCCAGCGAACGCAGATTTGAATTTAGCAGTTGGTGATGTTTTTCTTTTTTATATATAGTTTACAGGACAAACTGTGCATTTCACCCAAAAGTGTTTGGTGTGATATGATTCCAAATTTAGGGGGCCCAAGCTTGTTGACAGGGGGGTACTGGCCAGTGTCAACAAGCTTGGCCCCCTAAATTTGCCACCCCCTAAAACTGCCCCTGGGCATGAGTACTAAACTAAGTTTTTTTTTTCACACAAAAGTTTGTTAAAAACACGCATAAGTTACAAAAACAGTTGGTTATGTCTGTGAAGTTGAACAACTAGGAAAGAAATTGAATGTGTTTATTAGATCGATGTGTTAAGCAACAGCAGCGTAATATAGCCTACAGTAACATTACCTATTGGCCTACTGCTATTTACGCTGTTAAAAAGATAGTTCACCCAAAAATGAAAATTTTGTCATTAATTACTCACCCTCATGTCGTTCCAAATCCGTAAGACCTTCATTCATCAAATTAAGATATTTTTGATGAATTCCGAGAGCTCTCTGACCCTATAGGCAGCAAGGATCCTTACACGACCAATGTCCAGAAATGTAGTAAGGACATAATTAAAATAATCCATGTGACATCAGGGGTTCAACCGTAATTTTTCAAAGCTACTTTTTATGCACAAAGAAACCTCACCCTGGCGCCATTTTGGAGAGTATCCACTGAATGTAAAAAACGTGTCCTTGTTACGTTTTTGGACATTGATCGTGGTAGGATCCTTGCTGTTTATGGGAGGGTCAGAGAGCTCTTGGAATTCATCAAAAATATCTTAATTTGTGTTCCGAAGATGAACAAAAGTTTCATGGGTTTGGAACGGCATGAGGGTGAGTAATTAATGACTATCCCTTCAATATGACAATAAAATAAAAGCAGAAAATCACTCACTGCTCATCCATAATAATGTCTATAACTATAATAATAAGACATTTCTTACTTGAATGCTGATTTTAAATACTCTAGCGTAAAGAAGGGCAGGGTCTCTGCTAATGCGGCAGTGTACGTCAACAGTCGTGGGCGAGGCTTGTAAAATGTGACGTAACCTTTTACGGACTCTGTGATCGGCTTGCTCCGAGACACTGCTTATGATTTATGGGGATTAAAAAAAAAGGAGCGGGCCGATTTTTATCATTATAGGGTGGTTGTGTACACACAGCCAACACACATTTATGTTCAAACAACATGTAAAAGGGAATTTTGTATAATAGGTGCCCTTTAATGGAGGACTCTAGCCTACAAGCCTCTGAAGGACTGAACTAGGAAGGACTCGGTATGCAGCCTTCTGTTTGAAAAGCACCCTCTAAACCAGGGGTGGGCAAACTTGGCCCTTCCAGGCCACTTTCCTACCTGAACCAGCTAATCATTGTCTTCAAGACTACTAGAAGGCTACAGGCAGGTGAGTCATATCAGGGTTGGATCAAATCTCTGCAGGAAAGTGGCCTGGAAGGGCCAAGTTTGCCCATCACTGCTGTAAACCATTGGTCTCAAACTCAATGTTTAGCAGTTTAGCTCCAACCCTAATCAAACATACCTGATCCAGCTAATCAAGGTCTGCAGGATTACTAGAAACGTTCTAAGCAGGTGTGATTTGGAGTTGGTTGGAGCTAAACACTGCAGAGCTGTGGCCCTCCAGGAATTGAGTTTGACACCACCGCTCTAAACCCTTGTGGTTTTCCTCTGAGTCCACACCCTGAAAACTGAAGCCAAAACATTTTGATTGCCCCCTGGTGGCTGGCTGCAGTATGGGTCATAAAGCCTGCCCTATCCATGTAAATGAATGGGACGAACTAAAAAATTCTAATTACACCACAAAATTTTCCCAAACATGGTTTCTGTCATTTTAGGTAGTTCTTATCAGTCTTAAGTCTTTCCCAAGGACGTTACACCTGGAGGCACAATCAGGTTCTGGGACAACTGGCGATTATCCTGGAGGGAAGGAGAACCACCCCTCCTCATGCACTCCTTCCTCCAACGCCTGGATTCTCAAAAGCCACTACCTTCGTAAGAGCAGGACAGCTTCCAGTAAAGCCAACTACAAAAAAGAAAACAACCCTGCTGGACACTGCCCAGGACTGGAAAATGCAGGTTGATCTGGACCAGAAGCTCAGCTTTCTACCTGAGATAATTACAACTAACCTCAGGCCAGATCTAATACTGTGGTCAACCTCACAAAAGTCCTTGTTCATCGTGGAACTAACTGTGCCCATGAGAGGCTACAATTGGTGAAGCAAATGAACGTAAAAGGCTGAAGTATTCAGACCTATCAGCCAAAGCAGTACAACGGGGCTGGTGAACCCAGTTGCTCCCCGTAGAGGTTGGGTGCAGATGTTTTGTAGCCACGGCCACAACCAGGCTACTGAAGGGGATGGGAGTCAGAGGACATGTTGAGCAAAGCAGCAACTGGCTGTGGCTAAAAAGGAAGGATCCTAAATGGACTGCAAAATGACCTAGAGGGGTCAAAGCAGAGGGGAGTGCATCGTGGGCCTATCAGCGAAACACCAAGGAAGAAGGGTGCCCACCTGATGACCCCAATGAAGTGATTACCCCTACTCCCCACTCAAGATGTTAACAAAGTGCCGATTATTCTAAGGGATTGTACTATCAAGTCCTACATGCTCAACTTTGACATTTAGAATGATTTACCACTGCATTACACGACTGACTAGTCAGAATCAATAATTCCAGAATGCAATGTAAAAAAATACTTAATGTACAGGTTAAACTCACTGTTTGATGAGATGAGATAAACACAGTCCTTGTCTGCAGACTGAAGTAGTTGCAGAGAAACAAATTCGCTACTCTGGCTGCTGACATCATTAAAGGCCGAGCAGAAAAGCTGACTGTCTTCAGTGATGTTTGAACAATGGAGATAGAGATCAGTGGATTGGTGCAGGACAATGTTGTTTGGGTGTCCAACTCTGTACCAAGTGTACTGCACATCCGTTCCTCTCTCACTCCAACATCGAAACACAGATGGTTGACCCCAACATGTCATCTCTGGGGAACTGAGAGGCCAAACGTTTGGTTTTATTACAGCCTCTGAAATGAAATTTATATTTCTTACTGTAAAAGTCCATTTTCAAGACTAAAATGTGAACAATTACGGGTGCACTGGCCAAATTATCTTTTAGATTGGTTTAATCACACTGCACATGATGAAAATAAAGTCTTACCTTTTGTTACTGTGACTTGTATCCTTGTCATTATATCAGCATAGATTTTGTCAATCGCAACCCAGTATATTCCACTGTCATCCAACTTTAAATCTCTTATATAAACAATCAAGCCTCTAGAAACTCTATCAATGATTTGAGCCCGTGTTCTGTACGCAGCGTGTGTGAATCCATCTGTGTCCATCAGAACTTCACATGAGGATCTGGAGTCTCCAGCACACCAGTACTTCTTGTTAAATCGGTACTGGGTTGTTTTGTAGGTGCAGGTAATAGTCAATGTGCTTCCAATTGTGGCTTGAATCTTTGTTTTATCACACTGAAACTGCACACTTACTACAGAAATAAAAGTTACATTTTTAAACACTGTATAAACAAAGTTGATTATCAAAATATATTGTTTTATTCAAGCACATTTAATGTCGGCATGAAATGAAAAGTAATCCTATTTATTTTCTAAATGTATGTTATACTGTATATCTTACTGTGCGCAATTCATCTGTGCATTTGTTTCTCTCTTTTTTTCAATGTTTTGACCTAATATAATCAATGTCATAACGGGACCTTCCAGTGAAAATGACTTTTCTCTGGTGATGTATACAGGATCTCTCCAATCATTTAGTCCATTTAAAGCCACCCCTGGAAGCTTGTGTTCATTTGCCTCAACTTTTAAGTGCATCGCCCACATCTCAAAATCCAATCAATATCTGATGTTAGAACCAAGTCCCCACCCTACACTTTTTCTTTTTCGATAATCTGTTTCACTCAGATGTATGTCACAATACAGAAGAAATGATCTGTCATTACTTTCACATTCATCATGTTTCACTGCGACTTTAAGACAAGTTCCATTTGACGAGGTTCATAACAGCTCTCATAACTACAGGGGGACTATGGTTGTAACACTATTTGCTTTAACATTTGTAATTGCACTATTTATATCATACTTTGAAATTATTTTCCCACATTGATCTGTAAAACTGTGTACTCTTCAAACTAAATTTATTTTAGCATTTTAAATTTAAAAAGAGGTTAGGATCATTCTAAAACTGCAAACCCATAACAGACTGTTTGTGCAAGTTTTTCAGGTTATTCTGTTCAATCTATGTGTCCATAAGAATAAAATGTGTAAAGTTGTGTTACAACCACTAAGAACAGTGGTTACAACTGTCACCGTCTGCTCAAATATGACATTTGAAGACTTTTAACATTTTTAGTTACATTTTGAGCAAATGCTACATATAAAATTAAACAAAAAATAAGATTCACAAGAGAACTTTTTGTAGGTGACTCCGGTCATGCCAGTTCAGGTCATTAAAAATGCATTAACATGATAGCAAATTAAAAAAAAAATTATTTTCCTGCCTAAAAGTAGTCCAGTAAATTGTTTGGTGGTCATGTATAATAGTGATGTCATCCTAAGTGTAAAATCTGGTGGTGTTACAACTCAAACCATGCCAACACTGGTCTCCTTACAAATAAAACTATACTCTATTTCAAAACAAATACAAGGCAGATAAACACAAAAGCACACGTGAATTGATCAGTAGAAAGAGACTTACTCTGTGCTAAAAGCAGTATATACAGGCCCTTCATACTGTTGATGAGAATGTGAAAGCTGTTATGTGTTGAAGCACCTTGTTGCGAGCTATTTAGAGTGAAACAGGATGTAGGCAGTCATGGACGAACTGTGGTTTTCAAATGGCATTGTAGGGTCTTTCAATATGCTGACAAACTGTATGTATACATAAACACAAGCAATCTTTACTAAATTTAAAAAAAGTGAAAGAGCACTCTTCATGCAAAAACTTTAAAAGAATAAGAATTATAATACAGAGAATATAACCTTTTTTTTGGTGAGATTAGAAAGAGCAATTTGCAACACAGGAAAAGGTCAGACTGCAATTTTACTAAACAGCCACTAGATGAAACATGTACCTTCCCGATACCTTTTGTAAAAGCGTTCGATAAACAAGTGATTAGTAATATATATTTACGTGTGTGTGAAATGTAAGTAGAAAGACTAAAATGGTATTTTCTTGTCATTTTAAGGTCAAAGACGGCCATTTAACTAACCAGCCACTAGATGGAAGAGTTACCTTCCAAGTACCTTTTCCAGTGTAAAAGCTTTTGATTAATAAATGATATAAATATTACATGTGTGTGTGTGTGTGTGTGTGTGTGTGTGTGTGTGTGTGTGTGTGTGTGTGTGTGTGTG